GTTAATGAAGTTAATGTTTAATGAAGTTAATGAAGTTAATGAAGTTAATGAAGTTAATGAAGTTAATGAAGTTAATGAAGTTAATGAAGTTAATGTTTAATGAAGTTAATGAAGTTAATGTTTAATGAAGTTAATGAAGTTAATGTTTAATGAAGTTAATGAAGTTAATGTTTAATGAAGTTAATGAAGTTAGCTCGATCTTAGATATTATCTCAGAGAAAAGTTTTTAAATTGTTTTGTTGTATTGGTTTTACAGTATATTTGAGTATGCTCATTTTATATGAGTTTTAAGTCCAACAGCTTCAAAATTTATGAAACAATAAAGTGCAGAAATATTAGCGGAATTTTTAAAAATTCAATTCATAGTAGTAGATTCATTAATTACTTCAACTGACAACGAATTTACTTCTAATAATAACATTGAATGTATAAATTAAAATTATTTTTATAATTAGTCTAATTAATATCTTATGTACTGTACGTAGCATGAAGTATAGAAAAATTTTAGATGCTTTTTTTATGGTTAATGTTGGGATTTATGCTTATATTAAGTAGGTTTACGTTTCAGCATTAACTTTTTTCGTCAAGGTAGTGATCCGAATCAACAAAAAATTTTCCAACCGATTTAGTTAGACCAATTGTTTGTACGTACTGTACATAAGTACGTAAATTTAAAGTTTTAAAATTAAATTTACAAATGAATTGTAGAAATTCATACTAATACCTTGTTATATTTACGACGCTTTTTTTTAATAGAAGTCTTTTTTTTTGTTTATCTAAATCTTCCAACTCTATTAAGTATTGCAAATGCATATTTTTTAATAATCATGTAACCATTAATGCTACGCTATAAAAAAAAATTTAACAAAAGTCAACGAAAAAAGTGTCTATATAATTTGAAAAACTTCATAATCATCTATTGAAAAATAAGTGCCTACTGAACTTCGAATTGGTTTTTCATAAGAACTATGAATACTAAAACATTGTTGTTCAGGACTATGATTACTACTCATACCAAGATCAGTACCATCACCAAAAAGTGGACCACTAGAAGGAAAACAACGAATTGCATAATCCTGATTCTTTACACGACTTAAGATAGAATTTTGAATAGTACCATTTCTTAAAGAAAAAATAAAGCATCTATTACAACCCTTATATCCATAGGTAGATTTATCCCATTCAATAGGATTATAACCACCAAGAATTTCATCAGTACCCTTAACTTTCATGATTACGATAGTATTTGCTTTCTTATCACATAAATTCCAAAAAGTAGCATTAGTAAAACCATCTCTGCTTCCACGAAGAAGTAATTTAAATTCATAAGGAATATTTGTTGAATTATAAAGATTTCCATCAATCCAAGAAGCGATTTCAGCCGCATGATCAGTATTAATAATTTTTGAAAAAAGAGGAGAAGAAGCAGCGAATAATTTTTGATTTAAAGAAGATTTTCTCGGAGGTAAAATTAAAGAAGAAATATGTTGTTTAGGAGCGATAAATTTTCTAATCAAGTCTTCCCAAAGAGGTTTATCTAGAATGTCTTTATAAGGTAACACATGATTCATGATATCATCACCAGGAATTTGAAAGTAACGGATATGAGGTAAACAATTTTTTAGAGTAGATTTCAAAGCCAAAAAATGATCAAGAGACCAATTTTCAGGGATAGGAAGGAAATTTTGATTTCGAGCAATTCCCCATTCAATAACACGATTCCAAATTTTTATTTCATCAACTTGTAAGTCATCACGGTTAATAAGAGAAATAAGATCATTTTCTTGAAGAGAAATAAAAACATTGGAATAAAAAATATAATTTGGGTACTTTGCCACAATGTTGGTACACCAATTTTGCAAATCCAATAAGTAGATGTTTTGAACGCTTGATTTATAAACCTTTTCGAAATGTAAACGTAGCCAATGATCTTTATTTTCAATTAAATTTTTTTCAAGATATTGAGCCAATTCATCGAGATGTAATTCACAAGCGATTAACATAAGATCAAAAGTGAAAGATTCATCGAGATTTTCGAAAGAAATGGCACCACCATAAATATATCTTTAATTTATAATAAGTTTATAATAAATTATAATAAATTATATTAATTGTTATATAAAAAAGAAATTCGTCGAGACATACCTAATAATCATTTCAAATTGTTGAATAGAAATATGTGGCTTTAAACAAATTCTTGGAATATCATTTGACATTTTAGTGGTATTTTCTAATTCAGTACGAAAGTATAAAGATCTAAATTTCAAAACAATAGAATGTGTTCTGAATTCTTTAGGGGTTGAAGAAGATTTGCCAACTTCAACTATCACGTTAAAATCTTCACCAGTTTCAAGAAGGTTAATATAATCAAATGAAAGTTTCTCAAAAAATTTAGTCACCATATTTATAATAAAGAGGGATGAGAGCTAAGATAAGATAAAATTTTTTTACAGTATTAAAAAAGTAATGAGGACAAAGAACTCAATCACAGATATACTTTATTAAGATAACAGAAATAAAATACAATTGATCCTTTTCTCTTTGGTCATGATGACGATTGATTTCTTGCGTTTGTTTTAATCATGTGCGAAGGCACAGGTTTAATGCAACATACATTATGATCTTAAATGGGAATGGCGTGATATATTTTGTAATTGTTCTATCGATGTCTGTTTGAACTTCATGTTATACTATATTGGATGGGAACGAAGGTAATTGATGATATTGATTGATACTACAGTACTATTTAATTGTATCATAAGATATGATGTAATTAAATTACGAAAATATCAGATAAAAAAGTTATGCCGGTTTTTAGTGCAATTAAAGTGATGTAAAACGATATCGATATACTTGATATACATAAAGTTCTCATTAAAACTATTTGAGCTATCTAAAACAATGCAAGCGAAATCTAGTAAAAATAAGAAACGAGAAACTAAGCCCAAACGAAATTTATGTTATCAAAAGAATTTAATTTAATATTTGATGATAAAAAATTAAGAATAATAATAAATAAATAAATAAACACGCCGTCGTTTATGTAAGTAATTTAAGGTGTTATAATTTCAAATTAATCAATCAACATTTTGCCGATTATTATTCTGTAAATTATATATATATATATTTAAATCGTATCTTTTCGATGAAATTTTTCTTTACATTCAAATCGAGTTACAATTTGAATACTGTATATGAACACAAGAATTTACAATATTGTTCTTGTTTATGAATATGAAAACATAAAATTATAAATACATCTGTAGGTGCATTAAATCATTACAGATGTTTTATGAAGTTTTAAGATAATTATGCTTGTAACTGCCAAAATAATATTTTTCGATTCCACTTATAAACAAATTCATCCCACCAATCAAAATATCTAAATCCTTTCTTCAAAAATAAGGGTTGTCTACAAAATAGCGTATAATTTAAGTTTTATTAAGTTTTATTAAGTTTTATTAAGTTTTATTAAACATAGTAAATTAAAAAAAACATAACAAATTCATTTAATGACTTACGTATCAAACTTAAGACAGTCTAAAATATAATAAAGCTTCCATGCTTCAATGGTAAAACTATAAGGTTTCACGTAACTAATGCTACGATCTTCATTAACTTTGATCTCCCGTTTGAAACATATGTTACTTCGATGATCGAATTCATATTTACATATATCATCATTTAAAAATTCTAACCATGTTAAATCTCCTAATTCAACTCCAAATTTAATCGGACTTGGTATATCATTCCTTTCTACCGATGCCGTAAAACTGATGTTGTGATCACTGAGAATTTTACTAAGGTCATCATACGAATCACTAGTATAATCGTCGGTATCATCAAATACAAATGTGAATGTCTTAGTATAATCATCATAAGTTGGAGATAATTTTTTATTCCACTTAACATCATTCCAGTACGTTAACTATAGTGTTTAAAGGTAATGATTTATCTATCTATTAAATTTATTACTTAAATTTATCTTAAAAATCTTCTTGTTGTATTTACCTCAAGTTTTAAATCTGAATTTAACCTAGAAATAACCGCTTTGTGCATTACCAAAGGAACAAATATATTCCACTTTTTGCAAACAGTTCGTAAAGTGCAAAATTCCTGAAAGCTATTATTTATCAATATTAAATTAAAAAAATAAATTAAATAAAAAAATAATGAAAATGATATAGACTTACTTGGTTTCTGCAACAACATATGTTAAAATTTCAATTTGTAACTCATTAGGAAGAATTTGAATCATCTTGAATTTTGAATTTTTGTCTATTACAATACGTACAGTACTTCATATTCTGTCAATTTATATTGTAATTTTTTAGCCTGATCGTCACAGTCAGCCGACGTGTCACAGATTTTTGACGCTTTTGGGTTGTACGTAAGTACAGTGATGACGTATGTACGTATGTACATAAATTTTAGTTATAAACTAGCCTCAAATGTGTTAAGTTTTACTTATTTATTTATTTTTTTTTAAATAATAAAGCATTATCGCTACGTATAAAATTATCAGTAATTAGCAATTTCATATCCAAATACTTGATTATGGTAACAGATTAAAATTTTAATATATGAAAATTACAAATCGCAGCAAAATTCCTCAATTTTATTTAAATTCGGTTTAAGATGTTTTCAAGCATTTCATAGTGATCGAAATAGTACGTACACAAGTATTATGACGTAATTTTAGCTATTCTCGTAAACATAATTGAGATATGCTTTAACGTTAAGTGTTACTGTTCTATTTTAATCAAAGATTTCGTAGATTATTAATCGAATCACATCATTATCGTTATCGTTATTTAATTTTCACTGATTGAAGATCGATTTTTAATGCAATTAGCCATTAAATTTATTATACTATCGTTATAGCGTCATCGAGTGATTACGTATACTTGTATTGATTTAAATGAGGAAAAAAGCGATCAAATTAAACTTTTGTTATTTATTAATCCAAAGTCTTTCGCAAATAATTTCTATTAATAATTTTGAAACCTTAAAGATACAACTTTCTGTTTCGTGAATTCTTTGACCGTATCTTAGAACCTTCTGTTGGTTTTGTCTTGTTAAAAACTTCTACGAAATAATTTGCTCAGTGCATTAAACAACTAACAACTGAGCACGCTGGTCAAGATAAAACTTGAAAAAAGTACGATGTCAAACCTATTTATATATATATATATATTTTTTTTTTTTTTTTTTTTATAAATAAAATTTAAATAATAACGATAAATTTAAATTTAATTTAAAGATTCATATGCGATATTGTTATATTTCGCAAAAAGTGATTGCCGATGCCATTCGTGAATGTAAAGTTTGTACAGTATTACTCGACGAGCCTTTATTAAAATTTCTCCTAATTGTTGCTAAAGGTTTTTTAAACTATGTGCAGTTAAATACTAAATACTTTTTGAAGATTCATTTCATAGTAATTAATAAAGTATCTTATTAGTGGATTATGACTATGGTACCCGATGGAATATTTTCTTGTTATCTGGCAGGTATGACGTATACACTGACGGAACCATATTATTGCCCAAATAAACTTCCTTTGATTGATAATTCGAATGATGGGTATATAATGATAAAAGATACCACCAACGAAGACTTTGTAGAACCCTTTAAACTCTCGCGAGTACAAAATACGTATAAATGTATGGCAAAATGATTACGAGCAGATATAGAGACATACTCAATTATGAGTTCGAAGACTTTCCTTGCAAATTTTTCATATGGTTAAAAAGAATAGACAAGAAGGAATATAAAGTTAAAATATCCATGCTTCTTTCATACGAATATCCAGCTATTAAGCCATTTTTTTTCAATTTTTCGTTTTTTAACCCCAACTGCGTCAATTATTCTATTTTTGCCATTTAGTTTTACATAAATTACTCCGCTATCATCGATAGAGATCTTGTTTTCCCGAATTATTTGATAGAACTAATAGAAAAAGATTCGATTTCCAACCCAATTTTTGATTCCATGTGTACAAAGCAAAAAATCAACTTTTGCGGCCTTAGACGTGAACATGAATCTATTAATCTACTGTAGATTAAAAAAGAAAAAAATCAGACCAACCGACCGGGAATTCTGAAATCCGTGTAATGCAAAGTGAAAAATCAACTTTGTGCGTCCCTATCCGTATCTAATATAGTATTCGTTGATTTGATATATATATATATTTTTTAGATTCAAACTTAATGACGACAGCAGGAATATTTACACTTAATAATGGCTAGAACAATATTATGAGAATTCGGGTATATATTATTCGAATTACTAATTTATTACTCATAATATATTTTAATTACACTAATATTCGTAGATTCGAGTAATTCAACATCTACCCCAACTTCAACGAGATCTAATTTTAGCAAGAAACCAACATTTAAATCCCGTATTCTAAGGTCATCAGCCTAACAACTACCTTTAAAATCTATTACTAATCAAGCGGCACCATATTTTATACCCACCTTCATAACTTCATGAATCATCCGAATTTGATAACAAGAAGAAAAATTACTATCATTCCCACTATTATTTTTAATTGAATTTGTAATATGTAAAATCTTTGTGTAATTTCCGGGCATAATAATTTTAAAATGAATTTTAATTGAGAATTTTAAAAAAATAAAATTACTACGTGTCACATGATTTTAATAATAAATTGCGGTAATAATAATGAATTTTTTCCGTCAGTGTATACATAGTACCTGCCGGATAAATAAATATATTTTTCATGTAAGGGATTATATTTCTAGACTCTAGACTCTCTTACGCAAAATCATTATGTTAAAAAATACTGAAGAAGCGGCAGTATGTTTGTTTAACTTTTGCTTACAGCTGTTCTCATAAATTCTGGAAAATTGGCAAAAGTTGACCGACCGAATATTTGCAGATTCGATAAGCTTTGATTTAGTAGTGATAAACTTTTGATTCGGATGTAATTACATCCGAATCAAAAATTTATCACTGCTAAATCAAGGCTTATGTCAACTTTTGCCAAATTTTCCAGAATTTATGAGAACAGCTGTAATTAAATTTGTATAACCCAAATATAAAAATCGATAAAATTTTTAATATGAATAATATGAATGTAAAAAATCGATAAAATTAATTCATATTCAAATTTACAAATGATCCACTTTGATTAATAATCAAGGTAAATTGAGAAACGAAGCAGAACATTACATTACTATGATTTCCTATAATTGTAGTAATGCTCAATTGCTACGATTGATTAAAAACAAAACAAGTAACTGTGATACGTTAGTGTGTCGATAACGAAGATCATAATACAGTAAAAAACATGAAAAGGTTTGAACAGTTACTATTTAATTTAATAATTATAAAGTTTTAATAAGTCAGTGCATGAAAAGAAGGTGATTGGGACAAAACGTTTTTTGACTTTTTCACTATTTAAATTTTTTCTTTGCTTTTCGTCTTAATGACAAGCACATTTGATCGGTTAAAAATACTTTCCGCTAATTAAAATTTAATTCCCGACACATTTTAGTTCATTGATAGAGGTGCTTGGGAACGCCCTTAATTTAGTCTACGACATTTATTAGTTAATTGAAACAGGGCGGCAGCGAAGCCGCCCTTTCTAGTTCATAAATTTACTTGTCTTAGATCTTGTACTAATTTACTTCAATATTGCTCTCCCTCTCTCGTTAACATTACGATACATAATTTAAAATCACATTTACTTTTATATTGTATATATATTGCAGAAACATCGATTTATTTTAGGGCAACTAAAACCTACTTATACTTGTTTATTATAAATTTTACCCATAAAGCTAACCCATAACTTTAAAAAAGTTCAAAAGAATATACTCCAAAAAATTTCAAAATTTCATAATAAAATAGATCAAATTTTCAGCTTTAGCCAATTACAGATTCAGCAGCCACAATTATTGGGTGCACCAAATACATGGGGGCATCGTTTAACATTTTTCTTAATAATTTTTAGAGATACTTTTATATAGTCACACTTTTATACTATCACTTGATAGATATGTGCCCAACTATGTGATTATAGGGGAGGACGATGTATCCCAATCTCAATAATCGAGCAATGTTAGGAATAGTATTTTGTGATTAGTAAAGCGTTGATTTTTGTGAAATTTTATTGGGGCGTTGTGGCAGTGAAAAATGGTACAACAATGAAAACTAATCTAACAGGGGTCGCTACTACACAAAACCTAACACAAAGTCTACTAAATCTACTAAAATTCTTCCTCTACATCCTAATTGGTAGGCTTCGAGAATAGGGTGTATTTCGATACTGCGGTAGTCACGGGACTGTTACTTTAAATACATAGATTAATAAATGTTCCTTACTCAGACCCTAAATTAATACGAATAAAAACAAATTTCATTAGTAAATATTTATCATGAATTTGAATAACTTGCCGTATCGTCTCGAAATAGCACCCGAATATTATTTCAAACACACAAGTTAAAGGAGCTAAGAAATAACTTAACAAAGTACGAACAATAATAATTTTTTTTTAGTTTTCTTTAATTTGTGTGTCTCAAAATAACGCTCGAGATGATATTTCGCGACAACATGGTATTTAAATAATAGATGAATTATGCTCAGCATAGCAGAAGTTCGTTTTGATTGGTTGTTGAGATAACCCGGAAAAATTGTCGATCATACCCCGGATAGAGTACTGGCTAATCCCGGATAAAAATTTCACTACTCGTGAACTTTTAAAAATCAATAATTTAAAAAAGAAAAATGAATAATGCTCTAAAAAACATTATTATAATTTTACAATACACTAATTCAGTTTTATAATAATAACTTTAATTTAGATTTTACAAAGGTTTTATTTTTTTTCGAAATAATACGTTTATATAACGCATACTAAACGCTATTACTACTATCACTTATGGTATTATAAATGTCATATTCATAACTATACTTATATCTAAATAAAATACAATAAAAAAATATTAAAATACAGTTCAAAATACGGTTCAGAATAAATGATTTACTTTTATAAATTTAAATTATATTAAAGAGAATATATTCTGAAACCTACTTTATGATATCAGAAGCACTACGCTATTATGTTAACCTTATGTCAATATATATAATTACCTTCTTTGAGGGCTTTAACAATTATGATACTAATTTAATTAAATAATCAATTATAACAAAAAGAGTAAGATTACAAAATTAATTTATTATAATATAATGAACATTTATTAGTCCAAGTATTTAAGTAATTT